ATAAAAGTAAAAGTCGTAGTAACATACTAATCTTACTTTCCTCCTTTCCTTGTTCTTAATTTGCCAAAATTTAAGCTAAAAGTGCCAGTAAAATTGTTTTGTTGTTAACATCAGAACTGACGTTTTACTGTTCTATATAAGTAATCTGAGTTGATGTGAATCGAAATTCGGACGTGGGTTTTATCTCATTTAACTCTGACGCTTGTTATAGGAATGACCACAATCAAGTGTAACTTATGATCTGTTCATTTGTGTAAATAAATGATTGTATAGTCATTTGTGAATCAACTTGAACTTGTCTGAACGTTCACTTATTGTGTCACTTTTCACGTCCCACAGTCAAGATATTAACAAGTAATGAGAAACACCTTGGTAAAAGTTTCCTCAAAACCTTGTGTATGAGAGATGTGGGAAAAGCTTAATTCACCTTAAGCTCACTCACATAAGTAATGAACCTGAGTGCACGGTTTCTTATAAGGCCTCCTTTGAACAGATTTGATGAGTTTAGGTTCTGGTGGCCCCGAGCACAAAAACTGAAAAAACCATCATTCCCATGCCATTGCCATTGTCAGGATTTATGTATCATCAAGTTCAATCACACCCCAAATTCCTTTTAAATCACAGTAGTTCATATGCACATATTTTGTCATTGTTCCATATTTGTGGCTCAGGTGGTTATTATTTAATGTGGTGTTTGTGGGCCAACACCTACAGAACTTGTACTATATTGTAGTCATGAGAGTGAGTGGTAGTTAGAAAATCTATACGACTAACAGTGTGTTTATTGTCTCATTTTTTTATAAATATTTAAAGCTTCCTCACTGAAATCTCACCTCAGCTTAAAAAATACCTTAAAAACCATTTCTAAATAAAGTTATCTATGTGTGCAGACAATGAATCCCTAAAGAGCACCTTCTATAATGTCAGAAAAAAAACATCAAAAATTTATGGAGACACAAAATGTCCACAGACCACCAGATGACATCATTGTGGTCAGATCCAGCTTTTATCAACTGGTGATCATCCCCGCCACCCCCACCCCAGAGGAGAGCCTACTGTGGGGGGATACACATTGTCTTTCCATAGACTGTGATGTCCAGAAAGAGTCCTAAAAGTCCTATATTTATAATCTAGTGCTGAGCCAACCCTGAGTAGTTTTAACTCAGCTGTTCAAAATGAAACCTGAAAAGCAAAATAAGCTAATCTTGCCTTCTCTCTGTATATATTGTTTTTGGGGGGTCTCCCTCCACCCACTTCTGGTTTGATGAAATTCAATTCAAATTCAAAGTGTTTATTGTCAGTTTATTGTCAGACAGTTGAAACATTTCACTGAGCTATGACATTCTTACTCTGCCTTCCACAGTTAATGCCAAAAGACAAACAGGCAAAATACATTTGAGAAGAGGAAGAAAATAAGGGAAATAACACATAAAGGAAAAACTTGTTAGAAAGAAATAACATGTAAAGAAGAGTTAAAGAGAGTAATCAAGGATGTGGAGTTTGGGAAATGAAATGCATGACAGCTGATTTCTAAATATTTCAGGTCGCAATAAAAGCAGTTTTCCTACATATAAAGAAATTTCATAACTTTGGAGAGGGAGAGAGAAAAAAATATAGCAGTACTTTGATTTTAGAACTCTCAGATAAATACTTTGATTTCAGTGTACAATGTTACTTAATACTGTTTGCGTTTCTTACAGTGGGATGAGGTCAGCGTCCTGAATGACCAAGGGAAGCTTATACGGGCCTTCGATGTCTGTAATGTCAATCAGAATCCCCGTCAGCAGGATAATTGGTTGGCGACGCCCTTCCTGTATCGCCAGTCGGCTCCACGAATGTTTGTAACTTTACGATTCTCAGTGCGTGACTGCGCCAGCCTGCGCACACCGTTACCCACATGCAGAGAAACACTCACCTTGTACTACAAACAGGCCGACTCCCAAGCAGAGCTGATGAGGACCTGGGTGGCTGAGGTGAGGTTGAACACTGAATTCATACTACGTTCATATCCTGTTACCTGTCTGTCTGATCTTGTTGGACACTACTTAGTTCCATTCCAGTGGTGGGCACAGTTTATCTGCTAATAGCAGAAGAAGCTCTTTATTTAGCAGTTTAGGTTTTTTTTATTTTTGCTGACTTTGGAAACCATTAGTGAACTGATTAGCTTCCACTAAATCATATCTCTGCTAAGTGTGAAACTATTTTTATGCCATTTAACCCAAATTAAATAAAAACTATCCCCTCTTACAAGCAGTGTTGGATGTGTCAGGTATCGAGTGTGTAGCATGAAGCATCTTTAACAGCTAAACTTTTAACTAAGAGCATCCAAAAAAAATAAAAATAAAATAAAATAAAGTTACCTTTAACAATATCTAACAAATACAAAATTTGACATTGTATAAATAATGGTAGAAAAATTATTTGCTATTTGTTGTTCGACTAACTTCAAATGCTATAAACATCTTTGTTTAGCATACGATGTCCAAGACATATTCCCCCTTGTTGACAAGAAAGTATGTACATCTATCTCTATTTATAAAAATATAAACTTGATCAAAGAAATACTTTTATTCTGAAAGGGGTAAATTGGAAGTATCAAAAGTTAGAGTGATAATTCTGGTTTGGATTGGCTGATCTACCACAGATGATTCCATCCACCTTCAAATTAAACCAATGGAAAACTTCAACTGGAAGGAGATGAAGACAGGCTGAGTCATCTTAGCGGTTAGCGTTAGCTTCCATTAATTAATCAATACTCAATATCCTCCTATTTCTCCACATCCCACTTTTAGACAGTCCTCATTTGGATACGATGGGTCACCTTTGTCACACACGATGAAAACATTTTTTATGTTTCTAGCCCACTGCCTCATCCTGACTGCTGTGATAGAATAAAGCAGGCGATGTGTTTATCAGCTGGTCACTACCACACACTGATTTGACCTTTGCGTGGTGCATGTGTGAAGGGGCAGCACTCATGCAGCTCTAACGTCTCCACAGATAAATCTACCAAACGTCAGAGTTGGAAAAATCACCACATCTGTAGCTGAACAGACAGGACACAGATTGAATCTGTTAGATGGAAAACAGTGAACGCTTTCAGAGAAGCATCCAACACATGCTGGCCTGGAACATGAAACATAATTACACTTATTAATACATTTGGAAATGTCAAAACTCCAAAAGGGAGACACTAAAGATTTATTTTAACTATAATTGTTTGTATTCAGCCAAAGTCTTAAAACTGTAAGTCAGATCTTTTTAAAATAGAAGTTTCTGGACACATTCTGGAAAATGAATATCTTACCTGGTGTAGATAGCTCTTTAAAGCTCCACAGTTTGAAGTGATTAGAGCACAGATCCCTGCATTTAGTGAAATATGTGATTATAATTATCATTATTCTACATATTTATGGGAACAGCCAGCAGCAAAAAAATAAAAAATAAAATAAAAAAACAGCACTTACAATTATGGTTTCCTGTTCAGCAACACCTAAATACTGTATGACAGCTTTCCGTGACACAAACAGAAATTAATTACTGTGTTTACAAAGCTCTGGGTCATGCTTTGTTTTCCCTTCATTCACGTCTTGCAAATTTTATACGGCAGCGACGTCTTTATGATTAAGTATGCGGCGAAACAGAATTTAGAAAGTATTCTTTCCTCCTGTTTTCAGTCCCTGCTTGAGGCGAAGTACTTTCAGAAAGAATCAATAAAGCCATCATTAGTCATTCATTGCTGTTAACATCAAAACAGCAAAGCCTCTCGTGTTTTGTCTCTCCTGACGACGACTGACTGTGTAATCGCTCTCCCTGATTATTAAAGGAGGGAAACTCACGGGCTACGCTTTTTGAAAAATGCAAAAATCTGTCAGAATGTTCTCCATAAATGTCGCCTCAGTCCCACAATTAACATCCTTCAGCCACAGAATGTCACCTGCTGCGCAAATAACTTTTATTTATATAAGCATTTAAATTCGTAGCCATTTTAACCTTTGTGACGGCTGCCTGAGCACCATGAGCAGTCACTGTCACACAGAGATGCAGTTTTTGTACATGAATGCTTTACTCCTCAGGGAGGTGAACTTCTTTTTTAAAAAATGTAAATCAAACCATGATGAGGAATGAGAGGAGAGTCATGAGGAAGCTGCAACAAGGAGAGCCTTGACAAAGACCTAAACAAGCCCTCCAACCCCCGCTGGGACCTGCGGGAACCTGTCAGCATTTAACGACTTATTAGAATAAAGATGTTGGAAATGTTAGGCCTTTTTTTGTTTGTTTGCTTTTATTTTACTTTTTGCTTTTGTCCCCACAATTTTTGTCTCTTTAGCCATCTAGTGGAGATAAAGAGACGAGAGAGGGCTGGGTGAAGATCGACACCATCGCGGCCGATAAAAGTTTCTCCAAAGTTGAGCCCAGTTCACCTCACCAGTACCAACCAAACCGATACAGCCGCATCAACGTTAAGACCCGCAGCTTTGCCCCACTCACACGTAACGGGTAAATATTAGAAGTGTCACAATAATGTTATCGGGAAAGATGCCAGCATTTTTACAAGTACTCGTCCAAAATACTTAAAACAATATTGAATACTGACAACACTAAATGTGTTACAGTTTACATTTAAAATGAAGTTTGTCAATTTAAGAAAGTTATACAAGTGAAAAGAAATAATTATTTTAGTTTATTTTTAATTTATGCACCAGTATATATCATGCTGTATATTTGATTTAATCCAGACAGACTAGGTGTATTAGGAAAGAGAGCTATGTTTTTAAAGTGCCTGTCACATCACATTTTTGTAATAAATATGAATGTGTTTTTGGAGAGGTAACAATAATAAAATATTGCAAAAAAATGTCATTGAGATGAAGAGTTGTTGAGATATTTATGTGAAGTAACAGGAAGTGATGTCAAAGGGGAACTTCTGCATGTTGTGTTTGACAAACCAGACTGTAGAGAAGAATCTGGTGTTTCTTTAGATTATTTTCAGTCTATCAGAGAGATTAAGAAGAGCCAGCGTTCAAATAATAGTTAAAAAAAAAACAGGGAGTTTCTTTTTGCAAAGAGTTCCCCTTTGATGTCACTTCCTGTTTCACTTTATCTGAGCCAAGTTCAAAGGAAAATACGAAAGTTATGTGACAAAATGTGTAAAATTATCTATTTTATTTCAAGTTTTTTAAATACAAAGATGTGCTTTTTGACTTTTAGTATTTGAAGCATATGCATGTCACAGGCATAAAATAATGGTTATGTTCTAACTTAAGTTAAGTACTCTGTATCAGCAAGTACTCAAACCGAAGTACCCATACATGTTTGAGAATAACTGGTCTCAGGTCACCACTAGTAAATATCTCTGCATGACACTTTCCCTCTGAGAGGCTTGATCTTGACCTCTGACCTCTGCTTCAGGTTTGTCTTGGCCATCGTTGACAGCGGAGCTTGTGTGTCCCTCATGGGTGTATCCATCTTCTACCGGCGCTGTCCGGCCACTAGCCTCCACTTGGCATCCTACCCTGCTACTCCTTCAGGTGCGGAACCGACCGCTCTGGTGCCCGTGACGGGGACTTGCGTCCCCCAGAGCAAAGCACAGGGGGGCACACTCCCTCGCATGCACTGCAATGCTGAGGGCGAGTGGATGGTCCCTGTCGGAGGATGCATCTGTGACGAAGGACACGAGCCGAACATCAATGGATCTGCCTGCTTGTGTGAGTTAAGCGGACCGTGATGAGGCTGATTCTTACAGTGAAATGTCACCGTTTAATTCAAAAGATTATTCTCTAAATGATTACAGCAGAAGCTCAGATATCCTATTTGTCTTCTGAGTAGGTCAAACACATGCATGAGAAAGAAAATAGTTTGACATTTGGGGAAATACTTTCTTTGAAATCTCTTCTGGTTTAAAGTCACTGCTTCTGGAAAAAAATCACATTATTATAACATCTGATAAACTCACAATGTACTCTTTGAATATTTTGGGTTTTATTCCCAGTGTAGCAAATAATTGAAAAAAGAATAAAAGAATATAATCTTCACTAATCCCATGTAGACAAACAACCCATCTGGAACAATCCTGACATACTACAACAAAATAATATGTTAGACTTCCCAGATTGGAGAGGTAAAGGAATTGAATACCTGGAACATATTTTTGAAGGTGTAGACTTTATTCCATTCAATAAACTAACAATAAAATATGGTATTGATAAGAAACATTTCTTAGAATATCACCAAATTAAGTCTATAATAAAATAACAAATTTAAGCTTAATAAAATATTGTTAGAAACACCAGCAAGTGTATTAGAGTTCCTCTCTCTTAAATCTCCCAAATTACTATCTAAAACTTATATGAAACTCTCCAGAATAGATGACTCAATATCACTTCCTGTTATGAAATGGCAGACAGACTTGTTAATTAACTTTGACCAGAACACCTGGTCACAAATATGCTTAAAAACATTTAAAATGAGCAGAAACGCAAACTTACAATTAATACAATATAAAGTCCTTTATATAGTACACTATACAGGTCAGCGAATATTCAGGATGGGATTTGCTTCATCTAACAACTGCTCACAGTGCACAGGCGATACACCGGATAATTATATTCACGCGTTGTGGTTGTGTCCACCTGTTCAGAGGTTCTGGGTGCGAGTTTGCAAAGACTTGTCTAAGTGTCTGTAATGTATTATTTCACCCTCTCCATCTGTTTGTTTATTGGGTCTTTTAGACGATGTCACTTTAGAGAAAAATACATCTCACGATTCTAATTGCCTTATGCATCGCAAAGAAAACCGTACTCCTGAATTGGAAAAATAAAAATGCTATTAGTATTAACCAGTATAGAAATCATCTGCTAGATTACATTAGTCTTGAAACAGCTTCTGCCGCCACATCAGATCAATCTCTTTGGGCTCCTTTGATCGGCTCCATCACATAGTGAGGGTGGGGGGTCTTGGATCAGACCTTGTGGGGCATTGGGGCTGATGTGGGGGAGGGTATCGGGGTTTGGGGCATCGGGGGTGCCCTCGGGTGTTGGGCTGTTGGGGGGTCCTGGGCGGGGGGAGGCGCGGCTCTCTCCCTGGGGAGGGCCTTGGGGGTCCCGGGGGTTGTCCTCTCGTGGCTGCATAAGTGGCCTTGGGTGGTCTGTGGCTGCGGTCGTGGGCTGCTGTCCGGTGGCTTGACTGTGCTGGGGGTGGCATGGGGTGGGCGTGGGGGGCCTGGGGCTCTGGGGGGTCCTGGGCGGGGGGAGGCGTGGCTCTCTCCCTGGGGAGGG